TTCGATATACCCGGGTTTTTATATGAAGTTCCGTAGCAAATCAAAATTAAAGGCACCATGGTCAGTGGTAGATACGCATCCTTCGCCGTCTTCGTCGTCCTAATCGCGATGTTTCAACTATTAGCCACCTTCAAAGGATAGGTGACCAGCGATAAATGGGCCAGCATTCTTCCTCCAACAAAGTCAAGAGTTTATTTAAGCCATCCATAGTTGTCCCATATTATTCTGTCCAGTTCTTGTAGTGTTCTAGTGTCCATCCGTACTTTCTGTGACCTTGTTAACCCGTTGACCTCGTTGCCATCGTAGCTATGTAAACCACTGAGTCAATCCCACTACCATAACCACACATGGCGGATATATAACATCGGTACTTTTTTGAAGCAACTAGTGGTCTTGTTTGCGTTGAGAGAATAGTTTTATTCTTTCAACTACAGCAATGCTGCGTCGTATTAATAATCTGACCAACCGCATCAACCAATTTTCATGGGAGACCTTCAGAAAGTTGTGAATATTTTGGCAACACTTATTAGCTGTTTGGCTGTTTGCTACGTTTTGATTCAGGTATTTGGTGACTTGTCAAGCAGTGTAGGTATTGAGCGTCCCACGCCATTTAGCGGTCGACATTGTGTTATTGAGCTTTGATGCAAAACTGCGCAAGGTTTGTGTGAAGTCTAGTGTTCAGATATACAAGCTGGGCCGAAAGACAGCGACGATCGGTAATAATGGTGGTACCCTCACCGGCTACCTCTGCTCATACATTAAGTCGCTGCTGCTATTCGACTTGCAGCGAAAGTTCAGTGATCATGATATGATCGATCCAAGCACTTTGGACAATCTTGAGGTTTGTCATAGTTACGCTTGATGATTTATTCTCATTGCAAGTCTATCGGCAGCGCCTGCGTGAGGACTCTCGTTCAAAGTAAATCATTTACATTTGCTTTCTAAACGTATTGTCTTGGTTGTTAGAACAGCCTGATGTCGAAAGGTGAGGTGGGCTGCTTCATTCGTTAAGTACGTACGTAGTTTAAATTTGTTAGTTCGAAAGATTTTCTCAAATAAATTGTGAATGTATCCCACCAAGTTGCATCGATTTATCCTAAAGGCTCTTTCATTCTAGGTACTGGCACGTGCAAAATGGTTCATAGATCGAGACGATCTTGAAGGCGCCATTCGTATATCGCAGCTATTAAAAGGCGAAGCGGCACAAGCGGTTCGCGATTGGCTCGGCGACGCTCGTGCCCACTTGGAGGCGCGACTACTTGCTCAGATTCTTGTTGCGCATTCAGCTGTTTCTTCAATGAGGTCTATCTATTAGTCGTTTGATCAAGCTTTGCAACGTATAAACGGTATAGGTGCTTCAAGCTCGCTCATCCAGTTTGTTTAGCTCTGTATATTACCCTTTGATATCTGGAATTCTGCTTGTAGATCTTTTAGTGAATTTACGATTTTTTTAAATAGAATATCAAACAAATGTCGAACGAGAAATTTGACTTTTATTTGAGAATGAATTCTTTGAAATCATGGCTTTTACATCTTTCGACCCTCACCGGACTATTAGGTTGAGTAAAAACGTTTGATCGACCTTCGTCCCTTCTTCCGTAGGACCGCTCGGAAGGACTTCGTAATGGGTTATGGTAGACCGATCCCTAACCTGTATTTTTAAAAGTGGAAATATAAGCAGCAATATAGATATATAAGCATCCCCTTAGAAGTGCTTCGCAAAAATGACTTCAACCTTAAACTGGCGTCCGAAGCTGTCTGAGAGCTATCGTCTATCACGAATTACTGTAAGGGCATAGTCCACCGACG